AATCTTTGCATTCATCTACCCTAATGTCATTTGTAATGCAGATCATAAAATACCAACCAGTATTTCCTGACTCTTCATGTGGTCGAATGCAAGCTTATATAAATGTGTGTGTGCATGTGTTTATACATGTATATTGTTAGAAGTTTGTTTAATCCTGGCTTGTGAATGATACAGAATTTATGAGACTTCAATAATTTAGTTTACATGTTAATAATCATATTTCTTGGAATTTTCTTATTCAGCTTGAGCTTTCTTCCCAGTATTGTTTTCTGTTTCCCTTCTTTGCACTGAAACTTATGGTCACTAATTTTAGAATCAGATTTTTTGGTTTAAAAAAAATGAAAATAAAAAATCTCAGTTGTTGAAAAAGCACGTTAGCCTTTCCTTGTGTTCCTGAAATGCAGTGCAAAACTCCTAGTGATTGTCTCCCCAAGGTGGAGGGTTATTTACCTGGTTAATATTTGTGCACGATAGCAACCACCTTCATCTACCTTTAATATTCACCTTTACCAAATGCATTCTAAAAAAAAAAAAGATTCTTTTTCTTTTTTCAGAAGTTGCTAAATGCCTGATTTTTTCCCTTTCTTTCCTTTTTATCTTTCAATTTTATCAGGAGGTGTTTTGGTTTGGGTTTTTTTTAAATGCTTTACCAATACCAGCATGTGATGATTTTGCATGTAGTGCACATTTTGTTTTGGGATGGCTGTGGCCTAGCGCCAGCACTAAAAAACCCTCACATTTAAAGTTTTAAGAAATAAATCAAATGATATGGTGATGATATACTTAGCTCTGCAGTCCTGTCATGCTTTTTTGGCCTTTCCACATCCATAGATTTATAAATAAACTTTCCCATATGACTTGGCACTTTTATCTGCAGCATTAGTGTAGTCAAAAGTCTGCAGTTTAACAAAATCCACCCAGTAGCTGTTAAGAAAATAATACAGGGTAATCTTTTTACTTGCCTAACTCCCAAATAAAAGGTGATGCTGAAAAGCCATTCCTTGTCTCCTGCGATGCCAGCAGTAACATGTTCTTAAACTTGTTGTGACTTCTCAAAAGAGTATGCTCATCTGTTTCTAAAAATGAAGATGATAACCAAAAATACCTTTGAGTGGTTTTAATTACATGCATTTTGTGTTGTAAAACTACCTTAGGCACCATGTGAATATATTTTCTTTTGGTTAAAGTAGATGGTAGATAAATGTTGCCTCACATGCAAACAATGAAATTCAGGTTTCTTCTTATGAATTTTTGTGGGTTTTGTCTGGTTTTGACTGTCAGGAGAAATAAATCAAAGCATCGTCATCAGCAATAGGCGTAGCTGTTGCTCAAAACCTACTAAAAGAAAATTAAAAGAGGGACATTTAATTCTTTATATTGAGATTTTATTGTGGTCTGTGCAAGTTTGTTAGTTAAATGTAACAGAGTAAAATTAAGTGTTATGGTATGGAAATTAGGAAAAAAAATTACCATTTTGATTCTCATAGGGTACTTTGATCTTTGTAACAATAAACAAATGGATGTGCAGCTCTAAAGCAACAGCACATCAATGATCACTGAATATACCTTTCTGTGTGGCACAGTCGTGTTGTACAAGGTTAAAAGTACAACTTGCCTTGCAGAGCTTTAAATATTAGGCTCTGCTTGGCAGATTAAGAAAGGGGGAGTCATTCTTTTATTAGCCATCTCTTAGTGAGGCAAGGAAAGAAAAAAAAAAAAGGCATTCCTGATTTCAATAGGCAGCTGATAGGAAAACATCTGCTGAGCTGGGGTCTCAATTCGTTCTTGTGAGAGAACAGATCTGGGCCAAAATTCCTCAAAGTGGATGTGTTGTTGTGGGACAGCTAATGACAGTGGGGTTTTTGGATTACCAGGTGAAAGAAAAAGTAATCCCAACATCAAAAATTACAACAATGATGTGCAGAAAGAGGGCAGAGCAGGGACATAAAGAGAGTGTACAGACACAGGGGAAAATACAGGTATAGTGGTCAGGGAAGATAACTGGTCTTTTCTGGCTGATCTTAGCAATTGGGCCATGCAATGCACCTTGACCTGAAGTTTATACGACCATTTATAAAGACTTTAGTATAGTTTATATGGAGGTGTTTTATATGTATAGTTTATATAGTCAATATATAGTTTACGTACAACTCATTTGTTGTGCAATGCCTTATTTTCCTTTGTCTATGGAAAATTACAGAAGTTTTATAGCAGCTTTCATAGGGTTCCCTGTCTAACAATCATAGATGGTAGTATATTACAGTCTCCTTTTAATTTAAAAATATATGAAGTTGTAAAATGAATGTTAAGGTATAGATCTGTGCAGTTAAGGAACCCAGACAAACTTAAGTAGTGTCCTAGGGTACCATCATATCATAGTTGTTCTTTTCCTCCCCTGAATCATTTGGTATGCTGAGAGTATGCAGGCTAGACAGAAATCTAAGCTGCTACAATTAGATGTTCACTTACTGCAAATGCAGCATAAACCAGAGTGACTTGCCTAATGATTGTTATAAGCTGTCATGTTTTAGTTTTGTATTGGGAAAGGAGTATGAGTTCTCTCATGGTTTGTTACTGTAGCTGGACTAATGAGTAAAAACTTGGATGTTTGGACTTCTCTTCTTGCTGGTTAGGCAGGCTATCGTTATTCCAGCTGAAGATTGTCAGAATACAGAAATGAAATAAAGAAACTGAATTCAAAGGAAACATTTCCTCTTACGGCCTATTCAATAAAGAGTTATTTTGTTGTGAAATGCCACATCTTACCCTGGCTTACTCATGTCAGGATATATGCGTAAGCAGAAACGTACAGAATAATCACCATCAGTTTTTGATAGGTTTAGAGTATCTCCAAGTGTAACTAAAATAATATGTAAATAAAATTAGTTGGGTTTTTAAAAAAATAAAAAACTGAAACCAAAACAAGTGGAATTTAACAAAAGTACTGCTTCAAATAAAATTAACTTTCTGCTGACATGTGTTCACTAAAGGAAGACTAAAGATGCGCCTCAGCATATTGGTTTTATGAGGGTCAATGTACAACAAGAAGGATATCTTGTGACCTTTTTCCAAGCTCAGCCCTTAGGTATCTCATTTCAGCTCTTGTTTTCTCTGAGAAAAATTATGTTATGCAGTTCATTTTGAAAGTTTTTTGAGGTAACTTACACTCCCACATTTTTGTTCAACATGTACAGTGCTATATTGCTTTAATGGAAAGGCTGTGAAGATACTTTCTTCCAAAATGGGATCAACTGCAAGCTGCACAGAAAATGAGCAACAATTTCTTTGTCATCTTTTTGTAGTTGTTTTGTAATTAATTTTTTCTAGTATATAACTGAGTTCCCTAATCCTCATCCTGGTTGCATGCTGGCACATTTCTGTAGCCGGTTTAAAATTTTCAGACGGAACTGGTGTGTCTTGTGTCATCTCTCTTGTAACCACTTTGATTTATTCCTTCTCCACCCAAGAAACCTCTGGAGTGACCAAGTCTTGAGTGAACAGGGTCTTTTATCCTCTGCCTAATTTACAATGGCCTCAAATCAACACCTGTGTTACCAGAAGGTGTAGTATAAGAATTATACTTCAGCTGTGCTGGTTTTGAAGAAGCAGGGGCCAGTGTCACATCAGGGGACAGGGAAGGCCTTGGTCCCTGCTTATGGCAGGAATGAACTGTGCCATTGCTTAGAAGATGTGAGGAAAGGGAAACAAATCAAATAGGTTTTGGCAATGATCCCAAACAGTTCGAGAAGGAGAATTAACCACATTAATCATTAATGATAGCAAAGCTCATTCAGCTTGAAAAGTACTTTCTGTAAGTGCTGGCATTAAAAATGTATGCATTTTCATTTTTATCCACGTTCGGCATCTGCAAATGGAGGGGAAAGTCAAGAGCTAGCAGTGTCATTATAGCAACACTAATACCTGACTGCAGCTGAAATGACAGTTTGCCAAGCTGCACAACCTAGGGTCTGGTTCTTGCAGAGCTTAGCCTGCTGTGGTTGCTGCTAGGGGTTCTCCTGAACTGCTCCACCACCTGCCCTGCAGAGCTCTAAGTGAAGGCTTAGAAACCTTCTGCAAGTCAAGCACCTACTAAGTGAACAGTTGTCTTCATTAAGTCCTTACTGAAAAAGACAAAGATGTAGACTGTAATCTGTCACAGGTGGATTTCTTACACATGTAAAATTTTCAGAGCTATCAGTTATCCAGTCTGTCGAGGTGGTGGCCTGTTGCTCTGCTTACCACAGCAATAGAAACTTTGTGGATGGGAAATAATGTTTTTTTCTGTGAGAGGGAAAAATCTAGAAAAAAATACTGATTGAAAGAATAGAAACAGAAGCGGCTGAATGAGTACATTCAAAGACTGGACCCTAGGAGCTACAAGCAAAGGGTTAGGCTGGAGATGTGCTGTTTGATGGTGTGGTTGGAAGGAAGAAGCAGAGTTGTGCTCTGACCTGCAGTGAGGCACAGTGGACCCAGCAAGGGCCTTTGCCTTCCCAGCCTGGTGGTGAGTTGATGGCTGCTTAACTTCTGCAAGCTCTGTATGGAAACAGTGATTAAAGTCCCTGCTTTGCCAGCTTGTGTAATCCTTCTCACCTCCCACCTACCTGTATGCTGAGCTTGTTTTGTGTCTTCTTTTCACTCTGCTGTTGGTCTAGCCTCACTCTTTATTCACATATCTGGTAACAGAGTTAGGATCTTGCTTTCTGTAATTGTTTCCAGTTTACCACTGCCAGCTGAGCTCACAAGCAGGGTCAGAACAGCACAGGGAGACCCCTCCACTGGAAAGCAGACCCTCACTTTCTCTTTCTGTAGAAGTTGGGTGGTATCTGCAGGGAGAAGGAGGTACATCTCTTTCCATCACTCGCCTCCCCAGCAGAAACCTATGCAGCAGCTCTCATCTTTATGTGGGAAGTGTGGAGGTAAAGGGCAGTGGTTGCTCTTCAGGAATAAGGTTTGGTCTTAATTCACCCTTAATCAACCTTTCTTCTCTGTTTTTTTAGATGACTGTGCTGCGCCCTACTGTATTAGATGTTGGATTTTCAGTTATGACTTGGGTAAAATACTGTGGTTGCTAGGGGAAAAAAGTATTAGTATTACGAATATTTATTATTCAGTCCCCATGGAAACTAGTTCTTGTGGGAGCCCTAATTCTCACATTTTTTTCTTCCTATGGAAAAGATAGATCTTTAACCATGAAATTCACATAGTTATTTTGTAGAAATGCAAGACACACCACTCCCTTTTGCTTCTTGGTATGCTTGACAGATGTCTGCTTATGGGTAGTTACTGCTTACTAAGCTGTGTTGTGGTCTCCCATCACATAAAGATTTTTGAGGTGTGGTTAATCTAATTTTATTATTTTTCCCCTCCTAGTTCTGTGTTTAATTTTTCTTTTTCCTCATTATTTTAATTTGATGTGTATTTTAAATTGAGGAAGAGTTATTTGATGGGGAGATTAATTTGCTGTTTTCTGTTTAAAGGTATAACCATGGCAAAAGCAGTGGCTGTAAAAGGGACACAGTAGTATCTGCTTTTTCAACAAAGTTTGAGTTCTTCAGATTTTCGGAGGAAAGCTGTTAAAATACTGAGTAGTTTATTCTTGGTGGGATAGTTAACTCAGTCTTTGGCTCTTTTACAGTGCCTAAAACAATACGTGGAACTTCTTATCAAAGAAGGTCTAGAAACAGCAATCAGCTGTCCTGATGCTGCCTGCCCTAGGCGAGGTCATCTGCAAGAAAATGAGGTATAGCTTTGATGCAAATAAGGATTTTTTTCCTTTTTTTTGCAGAATGTCTAAATGTGTCTTGCTCTGTATGTTACAGCTGCTATTGTTGCCAACATACTTTTTTCATAGTTCTCTGAAGGTCAAATATTTTATCTCCATTTGTTGAAAATGCCTTAGATCATTGCTGTTCCTAATTGGAAACTTGTCTTTTCCTTTTCCTTCCTTCAACAGATTGAGTGCATGGTTGCATCAGAAATCATGCAAAGGTATAAGAAGCTACAGTTTGAAAGAGGTAACACATGTAACACTACTCATTGCAAGGCTGTGGGAATGCTATCGCTCCAGAACCATCCCATAAATCAGAATCTGGCTCTGCACTTCCTTATGCAATAGCATTGTATATTAATTGTTTGGTCATCACAAAATGAAACCACCACCCCTCCCTCCCCCCAAAAAAACCAACAGAAAACCCCAAACAACTCAAAAATAGAAAACATGGTTTCTGTTCTTGTCTGCATTATTCTCAGAATTGCAACACCCTTGGAATAAACTAAGGAAAAAAAATTGCTATGTATTGCTCTATAACTAAGGGAGAGAGTGACTTTTATTTTGAGTTTTGCTGTTCGAGATAGCTACCAGTACTCTAGGGCCTGGGGAGGGAGACTGACCCCTTTTACGGAGCCACTGTTATCTCCTTTGATGGCATGTGGTGCAGAATTACTAGGTAGTTCTCTGTGTAATAATAACATGAACCTTGCTAATTTTGGTAAGGATATAAGCTGACTGGGTGCCTTTGGAGATGTGGAACTGTGTGGCCATAGAGAATTTAAAGAAAGGTTTTGCTAAGGGCAGGACTCAGCCTAGAAACCACTGAAGTCATTGGCAGTTTTTTATTTTCTTTAGTGGGCTTTGAAACATAAAATGACTTACCAGTAACCAGCCTTCAGGAAAGAGATCGAACTGTACAACTGTCATACACTGTTGTTAAATATGTGGTTACATTAGGGCAGGGACCAACTTGAAATAGAGTCCTACTGAGCAAGACACTGTAAAAACATTTTCTGATGTGTTATACCTGCATTAGTATATGCTTTATTTAAGTACAACCAAAGAAAAATATGTCTCATTCTCAGAACAAGTTTAGTTCAGTGAATGAAAATGGGCAATTAATTCAAACATGGGAAATTCACTTTAATTTCGTGCCTGTTTGCAAAGCAGACCAAATTTATGTCTAAGTGGGTAGCGTAAATTGAAAGGCTTCTTTTGAAAACGTGTGCCTTCAAATGCCCTGCTGGTAAACCTCAGCTGGAATACAATGTCTTGTAACTGCCTTTGAATTTTCTTCTTTTATGTCTCTTTGCAGAAGTGCTTTTGGACCCATGTCGGACTTGGTGTCCATCCTCGTCTTGCCAGGCAGTTTGCCAGCTCCAGGAATCAAGCCCACAGGACCCCCAGCTGGTCCAGTGCAAAGCATGCGACATTGAGTTCTGCTCGGCTTGCAAATCTAATTGGCATCCAGGTCAAGGCTGTCAAGAGAACATGCCAACCTCTTTTCTTCCAGGAGAAACAAGGTAAAGTATTGCAAAAGATCAAGTATTTAGAAACAAAACGATCTTTGAACAAACTTGAGTATGAATAGTAAGGAGGCATTTTCCTGATCCTGTTTTAAAGCTGTTTCCTTAGTCATTCCTTCCCTCCTAATGTTGCATTCCAAAACTGGATAGCTCTTGGCAGCCTCTCTCCTTGCCATCATTCCTGGAAAAGCACAAAGGAGCTGCCTGAGCCTCTATCAGCAGCCCATTTGCCCCAGTGGGAAAAACATGATATCCACGCAGCTCCTGAGCTTCCCTTCAGTAAAGATCTTGTTGCTGCTGCTATTCAGGACAGCATGAGGGCTGGTAATGTCATGCCAGAGAGTGATTTTTGGGATACCATGTCAGTCATCCTAACTCCTGCACATTTGGCCAACGATGTTAAAGTTCTGTTTCAAGCTGTTTCCAGTGGCATACTGCATACAGTGAATAAGAAAGTCTGTTGTGTTCCACCTAATGTCTGGGCTTTTTCAAAGATTGTATAGAAATTCAAGGAATCACTAAAGCCCTGGCCAGCCTTGGACTTAGCTATTCAGAATTTGTTTTCTTTCAAGCTGTGCTGTAACAGATGACTAGCTAGGATTCTGTTACGATAAGTTCCTGGTCAAATATAGTAAATTTTACACGTGCTTTCTGTGTGTCCTTGACCAGAACTGAAGCTCACTGAACTTCATGGCAAGATAAAAAACTTTATCTGTTTTCCTTAGTTTTTTGATTGCTTTAGGTTTTATTGCATGTTTAGTTTTTTACTCCATTGAGGTTTGGTTTTTTACTGTTTTGGAGCATAATCTGTCAGTAACAGTTTGGCTAGCATTTGGAGTTTCATATACAGTTTATGGATTCAAAGCATTTTTCTGTACAACTGCCCCTAGTGTGGCTAATGAGTGTATGTCCTTTTATCCTGTCATTGGGTAAATCAATCAAAGGTCAGTCCTGTTTTCCAGCTAGCTGTTGAATCCCCATCAAGTCATTCTTTTATCTCCCACTGGAAGTGACTACAAGAAGTGTCATTTGTTAAGGTACATTTTAGTTGTTAGCGTGCATAAAATCTTCATGTGGTAGAAAGCTACTCCAGGGAAATGAATGTTCTTCCAGTGTTTCTACATTCCTCTGTGTTGTGCCCACTATATGAGGGGATATCATATGGTTTTGCACAGTCATGCAAGAGAAGAATAGGCAGAGCAGTCTCTTAACTCATGGTGACTCGTTAAGTCAGTGTTAGAGACAAGTTCAGCTCTAAAAGAACAGCATGCCCCTAAAACCTCATGGTTCCTAGTTTGGAGGGAACTTCCTAGGGAGGATCCTCAAGGAGGGCAGAGACAAGCTGCTCCCTGGTGCCCCAGTCCGAATGAATGTGGTCTGAGCTTGTGCCATCAAGAGATTGCTTCCTCCTCTTTTCTGAGAAAGAAGTTGGCAGGAGAAAGGAAAATACTCTAGACCTACAAAGCATTTAGCTGTAAACCAGCTACTGCTCATCTGATATATTCCAAAAGAAAACTGTATGATATCTATTAATGTCACTAGATGTGGAAGAGGAAATGTCCTGACTCTTAGTAGGAACTATAGTCATTAAACACTTTTCTCTAGAGATATGTTTAAAAAATTGGTTATATCCAAAATATCTGAATAACAAAATCCAACTGAACACCTGGATCTTGAGTAATTACTCGTATTTACTTTCACATGAAAACGTAGGCTCGCCTTCTTAGCACAGTTCTTGGACATTTTTCTCTAAACTGACATGGCCACACGTCTTACTAATTTCTCATTCTCTCCCACAGTTCAGGTTTTAAAATAGAAGATGATGATGCTCCAATCAAACGTTGTCCAAAGTGTAAAGTTTACATTGAACGAGATGAAGGCTGTGCCCAAATGATGTGTAAGAACTGCAAACATGCCTTTTGCTGGTACTGTCTGGAATCTCTTGATGTGAGTACATGCCATGCACTCTGGTTCCTCAGAAGCTTAGAATTTCACCGCTTTGCCATCCAGCTCTCCTGTTAATCCATTAGATAGTAGGTCACTAGCTTCTGCCCCACCAGAGCTTACACTGGTAATTTGATAGGATTTGTGTGCCTGTTTTATGTGTCAGACTGACATGTTCGTAGCATTTTGCCTATGTGAGTAGTAAATAATTATTAAAAAGTAAAATTTTATGAAAATATTCTTTTTGCAATCTTCACATGGGAACTAACATTAGAGAGGTGTGGTGTATTGTTTCTTTTTTTTTTAAATAATACTTCACTTTTTGTTGAATTCTCAATGTTCCCCTTCTTGAAGGAATTGAAAGATGAGAATAACAATGTTCTCAGTCTGTGGAAGCTTAAAAGACAAACTCTAGATTGGGTGCGTCACCGTGCAGGAAACAAGCAGTCAGATTTGTTTACTGTTCATTGTATTCTGTGGGACAAGAAATAGATCTGACATATGAGAGAGAATAGAATGTTCTAACATCAGGACTTTGTCAGTGTATAAGATGCTGCTGCCATATGTTTATGTTATTTCAAAATAATAATAGAATCTTAAAATCATTTAGGTTGGAAAAGATCTTTAAGGCGATTGAGTCCAAACAATAACCTAGCAATCCCAGGTCCACCACTAAACCGTGTCACTAAGCACCACATCCACATATCTTTTAAATACCTCCAGGGATGGAAACTCAACCTTTTCCCTGGACGACCTCTTCCAATGCTTGACAACCCTTTTCGTGAAGAAATTGTTCCTACTGTCTAATCTAAATCTCCCCTGGCACAACTTGAAGCCATTTCCTCTTGCCCTACCACTTGTTAATAGGAGAGGAGATCATAGAATCACAGAACATTAGGGGTTGGAAGGGACCTCTACAGATCATCTAGCCCAACCCTCCTGCCAGAGCAGGATCCCCTAGGGCAGCCACACAGTAATGTGTCCAGGCGGGTTTTGAAAATCTCCAGAGAAGGAGACTCCACAACCTCTCTGGGCAGCCTGTGCCAGTGCTCTGTCACCCTCACAGTAAAGAAATTCCTCCTCAAGTTGAGGCAGAACTTCCTGTGTTCTAGCTTACACCCATTATTTCTTATCCTATTTCTGGACACTACTGTGAAGAGACTGACACCTTCCTCTTGACCCCCACTCCTCAGGTATTTATATACAGTAATAAGATCCCCTCTCAGCCTTCTCTTTTCAAGACTAAACAGCCCCAGTTCTCTCAATCTCTCTTCATAGGACAGATGTTCAAGTCCCGTAATCATCCTCGTAGCTCTCCGTTGGACTCTCTCCAGTAGGTCCCTGTCTCTCTTGAATTGGGGAGCCCAAAACTGGACACAGTATTCCAGGTGTGGTCTCACCAGGGCAGAGTAGAGGGGCAGGAGAACCTCCCTAGACCTGCTGGACACACTTTTCTTAATGCACCCACCTTGCTAGAACCTCCTTTCACAGTTGTAGAGAATGATAAGGTCTTCTTTTTCTCCCAACTAAACAACCCCAATTCCTTCAGCCACTCCTCATAAGACTTACGCTCTAGATTCTTCACCAGCTTCTTTGGACATTCTCCAGCACCTCAGATGTCCTTCTTGTCCCTCACTATTACTCAAGCAATATTTTGGTAAAGATATTAAACAGAAATGGCCCCAGTACTGAGCCCTTGGAAGTATCACTTGTGACCAGCCACCAAATGAATTTAATTAATTTGCCATCACTCTCAGTCTATTATCATACCCAAGGATCAGAGCATGTACAATATGCAACATCTGTTTCCATGTCATCTGTTTTAAATATATGGCATCATTAACAATAGCAAAGGAAAGGTTTAGGTTCTCGAAGCTACTATGACTGTTCAAATCCTGTATTTGTGCCATTTGAATGTTTTACTAACAATCTTTAAGTCACAAGCTTCTCATGCGCTCAGTTAAAAAAGCAGTAATAGGCCTGCTATCTTGGCTGATCTGCAAAAGGTTGGCAGGACAGATTAGGAAATAATTTCTCAGAAGGGTGTATTGTCCTTTTATTCTTCAACTAGTAAAAGCAACTAACTTTAGATTGGCAGTAAGAGTGTTCCTCTTCCTTTGCTCTTTCTGTGAGTGTATAAAATACATGCAATGAGCAGCTTATCTTCTTGGATCCTCTTGATATACTCCATACTAGCATTTAAATATGCAGCTTGAGAGCCTCTGGGAGAAGAATTCACTTTAGATATACAACACTTGCTAAACAATCCTGTTTGTGAAGACACTTAACTGTAAACAAAGCACTTTGGAAAGATTGGACCTGGTCGTGTTCACTTCACTGAGCTGTTATCTTCCTGCACAATTCCAGAAAATAGTATTTTATAACTTGAAGAACACTTTATACTTCTGTTTATAACCTACCTTTTCATTTAAATTTTTTTAGGATGATTTTCTCCTTATACATTACGACAAAGGACCGTGTCGAAACAAGCTGGGACATTCCAGGGCATCTGTTATCTGGCACAGAACACAGGTAAAGCTCAGATCTTTAATAGCTCTGTACAGGTCTACTGCTGTCATAGTGCCTTCCTTTGCTTTACTCATTTTAACACCTCAGGGTAAAATTCTGCACCAGACGGTAACTGATATTCAAAGAAGATTTAAAGAGGGCAGTAGTTTGAAGAGTTAAAGTTAGCTCTCCCAGAGAGGCAGAAAGCCACTGAGAACTGGGAAGGGTAGATTTGCAGAGCCAGTTAAGTGCCAGTCCGGAGATGTTCTCATTAAACCTGAAGATGAACTAGGTTGCCACCATCTGTATTATTGACAGGGAATCTCATAGTTTAAGGGATCTTTAGCTCCAGATCCAGAACTGGAAAGGAGTTAGCCTGAGTATGCTCAGTATCTTGCTATGGACTCGAGTTGACTCGTTTATGTAGGCTGGATAGAAGGTAACCCTGTGAGCTTATCAGTAGTTTCAAACACAGATTCAAATTGACAATTACAAAGAGCGTAGAGATACCTGTTGTAGTCTAGCTCCAGTCTTGGACGTGTGGACCTAGCGTGGATGCTGGTAATGAAAGAACTCTCAGCACTACCTCAGTGCATATGATATAAATGCCAGTGTGGAACTTGGTCCAGTCTACTGCCTTTACAGTCACTTCAGAGATACAGGGACATCTGGGTATCTGAGTCATCTCTTCCTGAATTAACTGTGTCGGTAAAAAGCTACTTTAGCTTGAAATGAAGTGCTTTTCTTGAAGTCAGATGACTTTCCATTTGAACATAAACCTCAAGTCTGTAGAACAAATTCTAAGTCTGGGCAAACAGCTAAAGTGAAATAAAAGAAGATCTGCACCCCTCTCCTTCTTCATACTTCCCTGGGTGCTTGAGCTATGGACTAGGTTTTGCTTTTTGCTTGGCCTAGCCAATAGTATCTCAGGAAGTGTGGGAACATAAGCTTTTTTGATACACCTATAATAAGAGGTGATTAACCTGATATTTGCAGTCTGTTCCAAGCCACGGAAGTTAGTGCAGATAGGTTTGATAGACAGTATATTTGATGTTCTGGTTGTTGTTGAGGAAAATAAAAAAGTGATAATTCTTTACCAATCAGGATATAATTCAGTTAAACCCACTAAAGCAAAATCAACATTGCAATCATTTCCTTCTGTTACATTTCTTTGAGTATTTACCCAAGGCAAATTGAGGTGAGCCTTTGGTTTATTGTTTGTGTGTCCTGGTTTGAGCAACATCTCTAACTCTAGATATTGTGGATTTAAAAAAAGTAATATTTGTTTTGGCCAGAGGGAATGGCTTTATGCTGAGTAGGGCAGCAACTTACCAGAAGCAACAGAGGCAAGCAGAAAATGAGTAACTAATACTCAGCAGGCAGTTTTGTTTAAAAAACAAAGACACAAACAAAAAAAACACGCACAAAATAAATAAACAAAGAAAAAAACGCAGCAAACAAAATTAAAAAATTTTTTTTTGATGGGTATTAAAGATGAAAGGGAGGTGTAAATAGATACCTCATAAAAATTACCAGTAGTTGATCTGGTCCACTGAGTTGCTGACTTCTAGCTTGACACTCTGTGACCAGTGCGCTCTTAAGCCTGGCCTGCAAAGAGCGAGACAAGGGCGTGCTACTGCTGCCGCTCACAGCTTTTAAAGGAGATGAGAATTTAGCTTTGATTTATGTCTGTAGTAAATAAATGCAAAGGCTAGTAAGTGGGAGTTGCATCAGATTGTCAGCATCTCCGATAAAAGAATGAGTAATGAAGCAAGAAATAAAATTGTTAGGGCAAGAAGGTTTGAGCTCCTTATTCCCGGACAGCAAAAAAGCCAAGATTGAAAGAATTCGGTGTAGTAGGAGGCAGCCCGAAGGCGGTGACTGCTGTCCCACAGCGCCATCTCCCGCAGCCAGCCCCACTCTGAAAACTCCTGCATCCTGGAATTGCAGAAACAAATACATTGCCATCAGAAGAAGAAATTGTCCGTACTAGTAAATCTTCCCGTCTATACCATGGCTAATTAAATATTTGCCAGCTAATTGAAGCAGCATATTGAGCACTGGCTAGAAGAATTCTCAATGAATACTGCACTCTAATTTCTTTTTCCCTTCTGCTGTGAGGTTTTGTGAACGGATTAGCATTCTGCTTCTGCCTTCATTATTCAAAATTATTCACAGACTCTCTCATGTGAATAAATGTAAATTATTTTCTCAAATAATTTGCGGGCATATTGTTGCAACATTACTCTTACAGTTGCCTGTGGCAAATGGGAGATTTCCTCAGGCGATGAAACTCAATTTGAATGTTTTTTTAAATAATTTTCCAAATCTGAACTGTGTAGAAGCTAATAGAATTTGGCACACTGACAGGATTGTGTGGGTTTGTGGTCTTCTGCCCAAGGCTTTTAAATAGAGCTAGGTCATGTCCCCTGAGGCAGCAAGATGAACTCAGGTCTGACTGCAAAAAGCCGTTGCATATGCAAAGTCTTCCTGTAGTCCATAGTGTTTGTAACCTGTCACTGAGATTACCAAGTTTGTTTTCCTGCTGGTGGAAAATTTGTGGGAATCTTCCAAGATTATCTATGAGAAACACCAAAACCTTGATTGAATCTTTTTAGAGTTTTCTTCAGCAAAAAGAGGAGAACCTGAAAATGAAAGCCTCTCACTTTCTCATAGGCTTGATCCTGATATTTAATGTTTAGATTTGATCAAGAAAAATGTACCTAGTCAGTTGCTTTGGTGGTAGTTTGACATATAGCGAGACTTAAGACAAATAACCATCCAATACCACTTTGTGTGATCGGGCTGAGTTGTGTGGCATGCTTCCGACTGGAACAACGAACGCGAACGTTCCCTCTCTGATTTCACTTGCATTTACTGGCAGGAGCTGACTGTGGCATACACTTGGCAGGATGTCCTGTCTCTAGGAAGGTCAAAGGCATTTGCTGAGATCTTTTTCAGGGACATTGATGATGTCCTGGCATCAAGAGAATCTAGACAATTGCTATACCTAACAGAGTGCTATTGCTGTCTCTTGCAGGTGGTAGGAATTTTTGCAGGATTTGGTCTTCTACTTTTGGTGGCCTCCCCTTTCCTTCTACTTGCTACACCATTTGTTCTGTGCTGCAAGTGCAAATGTAATAAAGGCGATGATGACCCTCTACCCACCTAAACTGAGAGGATTGGACTCATCACAACATGCATTTTGATTTTATCGTTGCTGTCGATGTTTCCCCATTGCTGTAGCCTTACTTGCCCCATTCTGCTTTTCATTGACACACAGTCTTGGTTCCAGGAACTGTTACTACTGGTGCATAGATAATTGATAATAGAAAAGGAGGGTAATGGGAGGCAAGTTTGGTGCTAAAAGGGAAACTGTGGACCTGGGTAGCTATGTGCAATGAAGAGGTGATACTGCTAAAAATAATGCAAAAAGTTTCTGCTGCCCTGCTGTTGGACTGGGAGCTGTACTGAATGACATCAGCAAAACAAGCTGAAAATGCATACAAATCTCAAACTTCTGCATATCTGTTTGCTTCCAAATTTGGTGTCTTATCCCTGTATATATTCAAGTTGACTATCATTTAAATCAGATGGTCAACTTGATGTGACTTTACCATGTTTATTACACCTCTGTTTTTGTTAAAGCCATCACAATGTCCTTTTTAGTACTCATTTTTCCAAGTATAACAAAATCAATAAGGTGCATATAGGCCATCCTATGCCTTTCTTGAGGGGTGGGTTAGAGAGACAAAGTTGGTCCTGTTGCCTTCCAGGAATTTTTTGAAGTCTTACATGAAATTTGTTTGGTTGAAAGCTACATTTTAAAAATGAATTGATGAAGATGTAAGGTTGAGTGGTGACACAAGCCTACTATCTAATCAAGGTTCTTTTAAAAATGCATTTATGGGATTGATTACTGCTGGACCACTAGTGTTTTTCTGAATTGTTATTTTTTGCTGTTGTTTAGAGTTCTGCTACACTTACAGGGCTATGTAACTTCTAATCCAGGTATCTTAATCTTTTTATATAGAGAGATATATATATAATCCTATTTAAACCAAATGTGTAAATAGCTGTGCTATTGAAATATTTTGAAAGTTCAGGATAGCTTGCTTCTGTCCTTAGGGCAATTATTAAAAAACACAGAACTAACTTTACTATTTAGCGGACTCTTGGGTTATCAATGAGTCTTTCCTTTTAAGTATAAAAATATGTCAGAGTTATCCCTGTAGTTAATAATAAAAATGCCTGGGATATTTGTGGAAGTTGTATTTTAAATACTTAGCCCAGAGTTAATATCATATGATGTATGGTGTATGCTGTTAATAACATACTGTGATGAAACAAGTTTTTATTTGAAAAGTAATCGCTTGATTTGATAGTTTGTGGAATTCACAGTGCTGTGTTTCCAGGGTATTAAAGTGTGCTAGTCAACAAACTATTAATCATTGTGGTTTCTCTTTAGAAATATTTTGTTGAAAACCATTTTACTCTGATTTTAAAGCCTACAAGAATTTCACTAGTAACTTCTTGTCATGAAATAAGAAGCACCTGAAACAATGTGTATGTCTGTGTGAAGGAAAACATGCTTCTGAATGGCTTGTGGACTGAAGTTTGACAGCATTTTTTTATCATCATTTATTTTTCTACATTATCAGTGTACCAAGATGGATGAATATGTTGAAGCCAGGATAACTTTGCACTGAAAAATGTATTAAGACCCTTAAATGCAACTGCTTCTGGCTGCTGTCACAGGCTGGGAATATGTTTTCATGGCTCAAGCATAAGAAAATTACTTCTTTCTTTACTATCTTCTGTTTTATATTGTCTGTTTGTCAAATAAAAAGACTGTAGGGTGCAATTCTGAAGAAAAGGGCCACTGTTTTTTTATAAAACTACTCTTGAATTTCTTCTTCTCCTCCTTCTTCCAAGTTTAACGGTATCCAGATTCAGAGTGTATCTAAGCACACTTTTTAGCTCCAGGAGCCAGAGGTTATCTGCAGTTGGCTTATTTGACTTGATTTTAGTGAGTTCAGCTGTTGTAATGTGAAGCAAAAGGACAGCTGGTTTCCAGCAAGTCTGAACTCTGTGCTCAGCAGGCAGAGAGGTGTTTTTCTCACCCAAGCTCTGGCAGCAGCTCGGTCCATCTCCCCAGAGGTACCCTAAGCTGAGCACGTGGGTTGTCCTGAGCCATAGCTTCAATGTGCAGAAGTAATGGAAACCTTTCTGCGAAAGACGACTTCCTGAAGGTAAGGTTGAACTGTGGCCTTTCGTCCTTTGGCCCTGTAATTCTATTTAACTGGAAGAAAAAAAAAACACACAAACACAAAACTGGACAAAAGGATGTCAAGATTTCATGGGTTGTTAATTTTCTAGTTGGGAGCACTGAGGGATTTTGCTGTGGCAGTGGCTCTAATGACTAAGAATCTAACGTAAGATTCTCCTTCTGTGGTGAGAGTAAGCAGCAGAGGTGCAGTTGCCTGTTAGCAGCACCAGAGTGTCCTGGTATGAGGTTTTATTTTCTTTGTGCCTTTCTTAGAGATAGCGTTTATGTGGCAATATAGAGAAACTTGAGTATTCCACAGTACTGTGTGGCCAGTTAATAATCAAGGTCAAAATTAATGCGTTTCCAGATTTAAAAGAAAAAAGAAGTCCTTTACAAATGCAGACATTTATAAATGTCCATTTACAATTGATGCTCACAGATAATATTTAATATAATCAGGAAACTGTGTGTTTCTGTCAATATATCTCTGTCTTTGACCTCAACGTACTTGAATTGCTACTGGAGATTTTTATGACATATCTCTCATTTCACATCCTGGCTGTTGTGATAGACTGTACATATATTGACCAAATACCTAATCCTTTCAGGTTTGCTAAATGTCATTCCGTATGTATTCTTCTCGGGGATTGTTTTATTTTTGTTTTTTTATTTTGTTTTTTTTTGTTAATGCTGATTTGTTTTCAAAGTAGCAACTTCTGTATTTATTTCAGGGCATTTTTATATCACAGCTTATGTTGATAGTGTGACATATAATACCCTGAAATTGAATTGTAAATACGTTATTTTAAACTCTGACATTTAAATGTCCCGCCATGGAAAAGTGAATGTTTGTCTCTGATACTTTTCAGACAGCCGCTTTAGCTTTTTAGATTTTCACCAGGAAAATAAGATTAACTGCATGTTACATTTTTATGGTTAACTGTTATGTTTTTATGGTTATGCTATTATTTTGGGGGGGTTGCATTGTCTTAAATGCCGTTAGAGTTTGTAACAGTACATCATTTGCATGTTCTATTGGAGTCGTGTCTAGCGAGCGAGCATGGAGTTCAGACTCCAGAGGTTTTGCATCTCCCTAGACTTACCATTCGTTAGCTGGGCTGAAGTCAGTCCTGGAGAGATCAGTGGCACAGCCTGCACTGACTTCAATGGCCGTAGCATTGAGTTTTCCCCACGTGACATTGGACAAGTCACCTCTTTTTATCTCAATTTAACCATTTTATAAATGGATGGACTAATGTTTACCTACCTCACAGGAGGCCTGTGAGGGCAGATTCACGGGGCTTGAGTCTCTTCAGCATTCTCTGACGGAAGTTTATATATGCTTACTGTAGTTTTATGTTAATATTTCAATTTTATTCATGTTGGCATTGATCCTGAAACCTCCTACTACTGACTTGAGCATGCCAAGAATTTGGGATGCTTTCCCCCACATACCAAGCAGCACGATCTTTCCTCAAATACTCTAGCTTATGAATTAGTCAAAATCCCAAATAAGAGCTGACTGGGTCAACTCTCAGTTGATTTCCTGACGTGCAGGAAACAATCAATATTAGTGAAAAACTCTCTTGTTTATGGAGCTGATGGGATAAAAAAATTGTGGATCAGACAAAGATGAAGTGCTTGGTATTTAAAATTGTTATGGGCTGGAAAATCTGAAGTTTTGTTCATTTATTCTGTAGGCCTTTGTTGTATAGGAATAAATATATTTAATACAGACCTTTTTCATCCCAGTGAGGTGCAGCATGCTTAAACCTTTGTGCAGTTTTGCTTTTTTAAAACCAAAGTTTGTACATTTCACATGCTTAATCTAAAATCCTGAAGAAAATAGGTAGAATATGGTTGTTGATGACAGAGATATTAAAGACATCAAAAAACCCTGCATCAGCGCTTAATTGCTAATGCACTTATACTAAGTAAGGCATGCTGTTTGTGTTTAGAGCTCTGTGGTCTTCATTATTGTGTTGATTTGTGTGTCTCATACGGATTCCAGGAATATTAGGTACAGGTACGTGGTACATAACTGAACCTTTCTTGATCATTTTATCATGGATATATTTTAAACTTGTATAGGGATAAGCATGAAGGAGTCATGCATATGTATAAATAATGTATTTGACCAGTGTAAAATTAGTTCTGTTGATGTTTTGAAATGTAAGTACATTTTGTGCCACTAACACTGTGATGTATAAAAGAGCTGTTGAATGCCTTTTAATGTTGTGTTTTGTACTTTGAATCATATTGGAGAGTTTAATTTGTAATTTCAATAGATATTTTAAATGAATGCGTCTCCTGTGATTCTTCGTAGTGACTTTTCAGTGCTATACATTCATTAAAGAAAAGTGGGTTTGGTATGGTAGGACTCTCTATGCTTATCTGCCTCTCAGTCCTTCAGAGTGAGACCAGTCTGGAGACCTGCCTCACTTCTGGGCGTAACTGGTTTCTGACATGTCATCTCCCAGCTTAGCCAAAAGACTGAATTTGGCTGTCTCTAGAGGTGATTTGACCCACAGCTGGGTCTTTGGTTCAGCTCCTGTTGCAGTCCACTGATGCACACTCTAGCCTGGTCAGTGTGCTGCTCCAAGAATCACTCTGAGATCCTGCACCACGGGTTCAAGTCCTGGCTTGCTGGACCTGGCTGTGAGTAGTTTATATTCCTTTGGTTTGGTGTTGGGAAGGTGAAACTTTTTTAAAGGCAATCTGAACAACAGAGCATACTTAACTCTCTTTGGCTGTGGGAGCTGGCTTTCATGTTCACTACATCAATAGGCACTTTGCATCTGTCCCCACAGTTTCTTTCTGACTTGTGAAGATACAATTTGTCTATAGCCATAAAAAAAGCACAGGCACAATTTATTAAAAAAAAATGATATGCATAACTAATA